GGCTCAGTGGGCTTCCCTCCGGTCGCTTTCCTCGTTCTCTGCCCCGGCGTTAGGTCATTCTTTGGGCCGGCCCGTTATGTCACGGGCCGGTCTTCCCCAATTAGACTTCAACTCCTTGTTTGTTTTGGGTCGTTTTTGTTCTCCATAACAAGATCATAATAGTATCATGTTTTTGTTCACATCATCGATGAAACTAAAAAAGTAAGGTAAATTTAATATTTTTATTTTATTCTCCAACAAATACTTCAATCCACAAATTCAATAATTTCGACTCTTCGTCATTGTGGTATTCTTAAATAATATATGCTAAAACGACTAATAAAACTCGATTAGAGCGAAAATAATCTAATCGAATTTTCTTTAGGTTACTAATAATTAAAAAATATAATATAAGTTTTGTGATGAAGTGATTGTGAAATATTTGGCATTAGGGTATTAATCTTAGCAAAGGAAAGCATTTCTTCCATCAAACTTATTCCATTGGCTTGAAAAGTTTGGTACCAAGGAATAGGAATAACTTATTTGCCCTAATTCCTTGCCTTGCTTGGATTCATATTGGTTGGGCACAAGAAAGTAATAGACCGATAACAGTTTTGTTTTTAGTTTTACGATTCAAAAAGTTAAGTTAATTTGGTAGTATTTGTTCTCCTATGTTTTTTAACGGGTATAATTACTATTTCAACTAAGTTTTAAAACTGAAAAAGTATGACCTATTTGAAAATATCTACGAACTTTGATAGTTTTTATTTTTAGTATAATAAATGTGGGTTTGGAAATTTGAACCTTCGATCTCGAGGGAAATAGTAATACCTTAACCATTGAATTATGTTCGTCAGTGGCTAGAATTTGATACTTGTATCTATTCCGTCACTAAATTTTGGTTATTAACACCGTTAATCAAATGATGATATAAGATATCTCTCTAACTCTACAAGACATGACATCCAAATAACAAAAGAAAGTAGACTGACTAGGTTAAATAAAGTGTTACGGGTCAAGGCAGGTGGGTTAAAAAAATTGTTCATTCTGACCCAACCCCATGTTTGGTCCATGGGCTTTCTACCTACAATTCTACGGCCCCATGGTTACATTTTGTTTTTTTTTTTATAAAAATACAATTTTTTTTCTTTTTCTTAATATATTTTATTTTTATTACTTTTTTTCTTTTTCAACGTCTTCCTTACCAAGGTTTGAAATGTTGAGCAATGGAAATCTCGACATCGACAGATATTTCAAGAAGAAACTTGTAAATTATGAAAATTAATATAAATTATTTAAATTAATAAATGAGAGTTTAATTGTATAATTAAGTTATAGTTGACCATTTTTAATCATCAAATCTAAACATGTAAGTAATATTTATATTGAAATATCGATGTTGATAAAAATTTCATAAATAACACAGAGACATGTGAAAATTGGTGAAAATTGTTGGAATTGAGAGTTTAGTTAATAAATAAAATTTTAATTGTAGCTTAATTAGACAAAAATTCAACCATTTCAATCTCAAACTTTGGTAAATTTAAGTAATGTTGATGTTTTTTAAATTATGAGAAAAATGAAATAATTTTATAATTTTACTACATGACAGAAATAATTTTAATATTTTTCTACCCGAAATAATTTTAGTATAAATATACGAGTACAAATATTTGAATAATATAGTAATTTAAAAAAATAAATATACAAGATTTGAAATTATAAATTATTATTTTAAAACAACAAATAATGTAAAAAATAATATCGATAAATAAAAATAAAAATAATGAGAATGTTGAGAGAGAGGAGATAGTCAATTGAGGTCAATCCCACATTAGTCCAATGGAAATGTAGAAATTCAAATTATGGTTGAAAAATATATAAATTAAGAAAGGTAAATTAAAAAATAGATAGATTAATTGCCTTCTAAAAATTTGGCCACAAATTTAATTAGATTATATCTTGTATTTAACCTTTTGCTAAAAAATAAATAAATAAAGTATGTCAAACTCAGACTATCCAATCATGCACTCAAACACAGGTTACACAAATCCATGTTACCTCAATCTTGCATGCCAAACACTGGTTATTCAAACTCAGACTACACAACACCCCAACATCAAACCCCAAAGTTAACAAATCCAGGCTACTGATTTCAAACCTATGGACTAAACACCCCCTAATAGTCGTCGGATGTTGGTTCATAAACATACTAAAAATATCGTTTTTAAATTCTCTCTCATATATGTGTTGGTATAGAATACGTTGCTCTGACTCTCTAGATTAACTCTCTTGATGGGCCCAGGCCCAAGCCCAATTCAACAAACAGATCCATTGCAATCATGAATTGGGCCTGTCATGACCATGGCCCAAAACAAATGGCAATTTTCTGCTGAATTGAAGAAAATTTCACACAGAGAAATTGATTTGGATAACGCTGGGACTGGGCGAGTAAAGTCGCGAGCTTCTCTTCCATTCTTGCAGAGCTTCCGCCATCGATAACCAGAGCAAGTTCAATGGCTATTTCTTCTCTCTCTGCCTCCATAATTCCATCTCCTACTCTATTGGGTCCTTTGTCATCTCTTTCTTCTAAACCTAGACTTCTTCCCTTCTCTGGTTCCTCTTCTACTGCTCTGAAGCTCAAACCCCTTCAATTTTCATCGTCTTCGACAAGGGTTTATGCCGCTCCTGAAGTTCTCGACTCCTCGGATACCATCGAACCGCCTCCGGAAATCCTGGAGGGCTCTGGAGCTTCCACTCTCGAGGTTTGTGACAATGTTGTTCGGCTAGAATTGTAGTTTGGAAGGGGAGCAAAAAGTAACAATTTCTTTTTACATTCTAGAAGGTGTAACAACGTTCTAAAAGGTTGTAATGGTTCTGGGTTTTGTACATTTTCTTTTCCTTTTTGGGAATTGTGGGTCGGAATCAGGATGTGATAGACTAATGTTTCAATTGATAGACTAATGGATCTATTTTTAATTGAAAATATAATGGATTAGATGTTGCTCCCATTTTTGTTTTATGGTATGTTCATGTTCATGTGTAGGGTGAAGAATATGAGACGCCTGGGACTTCAGCGCTTAGCATTGGTGAAGATGTGGACAGGGTAATTTTTATGTTTTACTCCAGCATCTTGTAGCTTACTAAAGATATAAAATGGTCTGCAAGCAACTCTTAGATATATATCGGTTCTGATGGGTAAAGAAAAAGTGCCAGAAACCATACAATGAAATCATTTAATGAGATTGTATAAGTATCATTATCCTGCCTGGGTTATCAGGCCAGGTTACGAGTGGCTAGCAAATCGATGGGTTATAGTATTACTTAAAAGGCTAAGTATGAAGTGATGGATCTTATGCAACAATGACAGTTCCTATTCTAGTGGGATTGTGTGGAATGTTACATTACAGTTTTCCAGATTCCTTTCTATCCTCAAACCTCCTCCTCAACCGAATTACTGAATATTTCTCCCATTTGTGACTTGTTGATCAGGATGTCCCACTTTGTATCTTTTTTGTTCTCCATATGGTCTTCATCCGATTGGCATGTTGCATTACGTGATTTGTTCGATTATCTGTGCTATGGAGTGTGTTTAGTGACTTAGTTTAGCTAGTTAGTGTTGTTCTTGTAGGTTACTAGTGTCCATATTTTTCTTACGTTTTGCAGATCCTTATGAACTAAAGATGTTTTTGGTTGGTTTCAGCTGGCGCCGAAGCAGAAAATTCGAATTAAACTAAGGTCTTACTGGGTTCCACTCATTGAAGATTCCTGCAAACAGATAATGGATGCTGCAAGGAGTACAAATGCAAAAATCATGGGTCCTGTGCCATTACCTACCAAAAAGCGCATCTATTGTGTTATTAAGTCTCCTCATGTTCATAAAGATTCGAGATTCCATTTCGAAACCCGAACTCACCAGCGCCTAATCGATATTTTGTACCCCACTGCCCAAACAATCGACTCGTTGATGCAACTTGATCTTCCTGCTGGTGTTGATGTGGAGGTCAAACTATGAAGAGAACAGCTTCAGCTAGGTAAAGTTAACTTCCATAAGTCTATTACATTGTCCTTCATGATGCCATTTTACATTGCACTCTGCAAAACAAGTCTATTTACAGCCAGTTGTTTTTTTCTCTTTCTCTATTTTTTTTCAAGAATTCAACCATTACTGGTTCTGCAACACTGTAAAATGCTTGGCAGCATTTCTAAATTTGGCTATATCAGTAAAATTTAGTGATGATGCAGGGAGGCAGATAATCTCACTGTTTTTAGTCTATTGATGTTAGTTTGTCAGAGAGAAAAATTGACCACTGTGAAGAGTCTACCAGTATTATGTGCTATGTAGCGAGCTTTATTTTCTTCATAATTGATAACCTTGTTTTTCATGGAAAAGTCTTGTTCGCTTACGTAATTGATCATCTAGATTGAAATAATACATACTTGTCAATCAGTGGAATGCAGGAATGAGCTGATCTGGGACGCTGCAACATTTGTTGGTTTTTATATGTCAAAAACTAAGGGCCCTTTTGATAACCATTAACCATTTCGTTTTTTGTTTTTTGTTTTGACAAATTAAGTTCAGAAACATTACTTTCGCCTATGTGTTTCTTTGTTTTGTTGTATAGTTTTCATAAACATTTTCAAAATCTATGCCAAATTTTGAAAAGAAATAAAAAACGTAGTTTCTATTTTTGAAAATTGGCTAAGAATTTGAATATGTTTCCAAGAAAGGTGAAAAACTTTCCAATGAAATTGTACAAAAACAAGTGGAATTTTTTAAAACAGAAAACTAAAAACGCAATGGTTTTCAAACAACTACTAATTAGGGAATTTGACTAAGAATTCAAATATGTTCTCCTGTGATGAAGATGGTGGAGGATAGTGCAATACAGCGGCTCTAGGTCTGAGGCGGAAAAGAAGTTGATGCTTGAGATTTAGGTCTTTGATGGAGCTAGGATGAAAAAGGAGAGGAGATGTGGGCTTTGTTTTGAACATTCATAGCAAGGAAATAGAAGGAAGAGTTGGTTATTTGAATTTGTATCTTTTTCATGGGAAGGGATGGCTTTAGCACAGGAAAGAGATGGCTTTATTTTGATTTGGAAACTTCGCATAAAATAGCTTTCAAGTTTAGAGATGGATTTTTCTTCATCTAGTAGTTGCTAAATTGGTCCCTGGTTGATGAAGATTGCATATACCATTTCATTTCCATTTTTTTTTTGCCGAGTCATTTGGGAACTTCTCCCCCTCATTTTCTGTTTGCTAATGGAGGAGCTAGTTTTGCATTTCGTTCATACCGATAGTCATCGGGCAGTCATTTCGATATATTCCCGACTTTTTTGTATGGCTACACCCCATCTTCTCATTCTTTCTTTAACACTTTTTGGTTGGTTTCTTGCATGTCAAGGTTATGGATTTCTGAAGATGTAACTACTGGGATAAAACGGAGCCTGATTGAACGGGTTGTAGAGCCGATAGCTAGTCCCCGTTACATGTTTCTTTGCTTGAGTTTCTATGCCAGTTTGACAATGGGAGCAAGGAAAATATAGGACTGTTGTAATCACATCTTTTTGTTGGTTATTTGCTGCTATGCAGCCTTGTTAATCATTTGTATTAACTGTGTTTTGTATTTTTTTTTGGTACTTAATGGAGCAATGAAAAATATGCATTATCAAATGTTGTCGAGTAGAAAACCTTTTTTTTTTTTTTTCCTCTTTGATAATGATTTTGCTTCTAGTTTTCACTTTTATTTAATGAATGAAGTGGTTTATGACCAACTCCTTTGTATTATTTAACTATTTATATTACGAGACCTTAAATAAAAATGTTGAGACTTCAGTTTTATGAAAATGTCGATAAAAATATCGATACACCATCAACGTTGATGGATGTTTAAAAAATATATATAATTAAAAATATTACAAAAATGATTAAAATGAAGGAAAAAAACATTTTATCCTTCTTAAATAAATTTAAAATATTTATTATGATTATTATGCCTAATTTAATGATGTATATTTTTTATTTTTTTAACATCTTGTCGATGGTTAGACTCACCCCTATAAAAATGTTTGACATTTCGACGGAAATTTAATATTTTTATTATATTTAATAAATATGGTGGTTTTGCTAATATTTGGGTGGAAAATATTTTTATCACTAAATTTGATAGTTGTATTTATACCATCAAATTGAATTTTAGACTTAGACAAAGGTAGCAATTTTTACTTTCTATTTAAATTTTGCTACATTCACCTGTTAATTTTAAGAAAAAGCAAAATAGATATTTCCTAGCACTCACTAATTTCAACGGAGAATAAAAAAAGTTTTTACAAATAAATTCTTTAATATAATTCGAGCTCTCTATATTTTTTCAAGCCCTACCAATTTTATACTAAATATATGTTTACATTATGAGAATATTTTTTTTAACAATTATTTAAACGAATGCCATAGAAAGAATATTTTTATTTATGCTCTGTTTGGTATCTGAGATTTCGAGAGATTTAAAAATCAATCTTGTTTGGTATCATGATTTTGAATGGAATGATTTGAAATCTTACCGAATCAAAATCTTGAATTGGTGAAATTTTAATTATCTTTTCCTTTCCCGTGAATATTAAAATAAAAATTTTTAGTTTAATTCATTTCAACTCATTGTTTTAAATAAGTTGAAAATTTTTTAAAAATCATTTCTTTAATTTTTTTACACCAAAAGGATTAGTTAATTTTTATGAACGACATGTTTTTAATTAAAATTTAAATCACTTTTCTTACGAAATTCATGGTCTCATAAATAAATAGCATTTGACCTTTACACGCAATCACGATCATCATTAAAGTTTTCAAAAGAAAAACTAGAAAATTGTTTTAGAAAAGGTCTCCCTGGTGAATTTTGGGGACCATGTTTAAGCATGAATTATTTTTCCCTCTCATTATTTTTAATTATTATTATTTTTTACGTAATTTCTAAGCATGAGTTTGAAACTCCAAGAGTAGTTGATATAATCTTCAACCCATGAGGTTTTTTAATTCTTCCCTAACACATTTTTTTTAAATAAAACAATATGACGTTATAAATAAAGGGAGAATTCGAACTCATAACTTATAAACAAGACTCTAATACTTGACTGTTGAAAGTACTAATACACTTGACCGCTAGAATTATGCTAAAGATTAGTAATTGGAACAGAAGCTCTTAAGCACTAGCAAATTGATTAAAATGAGTGACGAACATTTTGAAGTTGAAATCTAAGTTTATCTCCGACCACCTAAATGGTGCACGATAAAATGTGAGTGCTCAGATATTAGTGGCGGAAAATGACGTCAAAGTTTCTAGAGTATTCAAAAGGATTGGAAAGTGAGTTCGTAGACAAATGGTTACAGAGAGCAATTAATTTCATTTCCTTTAGGTAGCTCTTAAAATTATAGGGATTATTTTTTCACAATTCTATAAGTGCAATGAAAGGTTAGGGGCAATTTGCCCTAAATATAGATAGAGTTGTGCATAAATTCTCCCATAGAATTGGGCCTTGAGAGAGAAAAGTTTATCAACAAAAAGGAAAAATGATGTGAAGTGTGAGAAGAATATACCAATAAGATTCTAGAGAATCTTATCATCATTATTTATTGTAAATATTTTATGGAAGAGATGCCTACTTCTTCTAAACCCCACAATATAATAGTGATGTATCAATATCTTCTTAAATATGGAAAAAGTGGTGGCAACTCAAGAATTCAATTTCAACATCAATGGTACTCCAAACAAAAAAAAAAATCAACATCAATGAAAATGTCCAACTCTTGATTTCATATTCATAGGGATATTGGTGTAGTTGATGGATTTTTTAGAAAAATTGTAGATGGTTAGGGATGAAATGAAGTCTTAATTTGCGAACGAGAGACAAGAAAGTCAAAGTTTTTGGATTTACAAATGATTCAAAAGGTTGAGCCCGTAGACATGAAATCTATGAGTCATATGCATAGACCGCACGCCATTAATCAAGTTTGTGGTTGTATATTGGGCCAACCTTATGGGCCGACCAATCCAGGTTGAAACCAAAGGACAACTGTGAGCTTGACAACTTCGTCAATTATTTTATAGGGCTAATCGAGATATCCAATTTAAATTCCAAACATTTTGGGAATTCAAAAGGCGAAGGTTTCGATTCAGTCAAGGTATGATACGAAATTCTAACTATCACTATGTTTCATGCCGACTCAATTTTGACTTAAACATAGAAGTGGGTGTGTAATCTTTCTCTACTTTGTAAGTTAAGTTGTATCCATTTATTTATAACTTTGTGTGAGATGTGTACGGAGGAGATTTAAAACATCCAACGTGTTAAGAATGAATAAAATTGGTAAATTTTTTAACACTCCCTCACTGGTGATGAAATAACAATGTAAGGATTCGAATATAAGACCTTGCTCTAATACTATGTTAAAGATGAATAAACCATCCCTTAACCCAAATAAGCTCATGGATGAGATAAATTTTCTAACATAGACCTTTAAGGTTAATTATCAAATGATTAAAAACATACATTTTTACAAAAGTGATTAAAAAATAATATTATCTTGTTAAAAGGGCTATTCAGCCCAAAAACCCTAAAAACAATATTGTTTGATGATGTCAGCCCATTAACGAAAATAGTATTTTAACAAATTTTTTTTGTAACACGATGAGAAAATAAAATAAATAAAAATAAGAGTTAAATAATAAGAATTGTGATTTAATATTGTGATTTAATTAGAATCAAAGTCAAAATTGTTTCTTGTCAAGAAAGAAAAAAGAGCACAAATGTGAAATTGACTTGGCAGCCTCAATCACACGTCATTGGTTACATAATGAAAAGGCAAACAAGTTTAGCCACGTCACCATTTGCGTCACAGCTGCACTTTTAGCTGTTACTTTATCATGCAATTTTTGTTGAGAGAGCAAAAATTTAAGACTCGATGGAAATAATTTTTTTAAATTTTATTAAATTTTGAATTTTGATAGATGGTGTTTGGGGGAGAGAATATTCTGGACACGTGGAGGACCCCTATTGGTGTTCCAAGATGACTCATGAGTCATGCCCAGCTCGGACCGCCGAGGTCACCACCACTAGCGTTGACAGATGCTAAGTATGAGGGCCGAGGTGAACCTGGCCGAGGTCCGACCTACCGGGAAGCTCGGTAGGGGCCGATGTGAGCTACTGTCGGCGGCGTGATTATCGGGTGTAACCGTCAGGCCCGAGATTAGCGGGTGTAACCGACGGTCCCGAGATTACCGGGTGTAACCGTCGCGAGATTAGCGGGACTACCACCCATAAGTAGAGGACCTCACTCCACGATCAGGTACGATGATTTCTGACCTCGAACTATACTGGGAATCCGACCTATACTGACTTGATCGTCGGAGTGCTCACCTTTTTGTGCAGGTCCGCCCAAGTATTCAACTCGGTCCGGAGGCCGAGTTCGAGCTGCAATCTGAAATACACTGCTGTGCATATCCTTGCATAAACATATGGTAACATTAATGTTAAAAATTAAATTAATCAATTATTTAAGAATTAATATTAAATCATAACAAATACACAAATTAAACTCATTTTACCCAAAATTTTAATTTCACCATTTATTTAATTTTATAGTTTAATTTGAAAGAGTACTTTTTTTAAAAGATTAAACTATAAATCTAGTTCTTAAACTTCTATGTTTTTCTTTTTATGTATCTTTTTAATCCCTTTCATCAATATCATTAACATAATATTGGCATGCCATTATTAACTAAACTCGGTATGAGAATTTTTAACATTAATTTTTTTTAACTAAATAATATTTTAAAAATCACGAATCCATAAAATAAAATAATATATTAACTAATTACATATCAAAATATTAATAGAAAAATAGATACTAAAGAAGTTGCAAAAAATTTCTTGCCAATATCTATCCTACTATTAGCCACATCATACCGACTATAAAAAATTATTTAATTAAATAGGCTTCATCAGCATTTCGTTAATAATATATTAATAATAAGAACTAGAAGAATTTATAAAAACCAACCTTAAAAAATATAAGGGAAGAAAGTTTTATTGATCATTTATAGTTTAATAAAATTTTAAAAGTTAATTTCACATAGATTAAAAAAATAATTATTTTTCCTTTATGATGTACCTAGGTTTGATTCTCCTAGAATCTTTGGAGCATTCATTGCACCAAACTTTATACATTTAAATAATTAATTAACAACCTTTCTAGTCTTTGTAGAGATTCAATGATTAACCATTAATATTTTGTCTGTGTTAGGAAAATGTACATTGCCAATATTCAGTGTTTCTTGACATATTGCTTTTGATTTTTTTTCAGACTTAAATAATCTAAGATTGTAATCTTAAAAAAATTTGTTCTTTTAAAAAGCGAAAACGTTTATTAAAAATAAGAAACTAGAAACTGTGACGAAATACTTATATTACTCAATATAAATTAGCATGTGCTTATCATGAAATTTGAATCAATGAGAGAGGGAACATAGAAATCATGTGCACGCTTGAGCCAACGGACCAAAGATTTATTTTGATTAATGTAGGACAATTTATAAAATTTAATCTAACATTTCTCAAACTTCAGAAACAAGAAACAAAAAATAAGAAATACAAAATAGGAACATTACTCAAAATTAAGCT